AGTACAGGTGTAGGGGCGAATTTCTGCTATAGGACATAGCGTTGCGCTAGCCTCAATCTGAAATTCAAGTCAGTAGCATTTATGTTAATTTTGTTATCAATCTGTGTATTGCAATAATAGTATTCTGTTTATAAGTGCGTAGCTTGTTTTGAATTGAACATAAATTTTATTCACATTTCAACATCATGTTTGTTGTTCTGTATATGATTATAAATCTACTAATGAGTGACCCTTAAATTTTCGGGTATTTACAGAATCAACAAGTCTTTGATTTTTGCTCAATCTGCACTACATGATAATTAGATATTACACTAAAATAAACAAGAATTTCTATCTTAATTTGAGTAGTTCAGTGTTAAAATGACCGAAAATTTTGTTAAATCTTGATCGGTTTGTTGAGATAAAGAAGATACAAGTTCAATTCAACTTCCAAGCTGACGGCCCAAAAGATGTTGCTTTTAAGACTACTATTGCGTGAGATATTTGGCCACTTGTCGAGAAAATTTTTAATACTCCTCAAATATGAAATTTAATATTTTTTTATCATTATTTAATTGACACTTATATTATTCTTTTATGTTTAAATCCCAATTAAATAGTTGATCCCAAATATGTATAGCATAATTTATTAAATATCACGTCAAATGAGAATATTTTTTGGATTATTATAGTCCTATTATAATTCAATTATTTAAATAATATACTTTTCCTTTTTCAATAACAAACTGTAATAAATACTATAATTAATTCTCAATTAATTAATATTCACATTCATTTAATTAATATTAATTAAAATTTCAGTTCATTATTCACATCCATGATAATTAGTATCCAGTTTCACTTAATTGGAAATTAAATTATATTCATTTAATATAAATGATTTACCATTCATTGTCACGTATATATTCCTTGATATTAATTCTAAATTAATTAACATTCATGTATCGTATTTCGTATCCGCCACACCATGATAGGGGTGATGATGGGAATGGCCTACCTGTTCCATACCCACTCCGTTGTCATCCCTACGTCTAATTATATTGTATACTTTTTTTTAACTACAGATCAACCTTTTCATTAAGGTCAATGGGGTTAAAAAAATGGATGGTAATCTTCATCTTTGTCAATTGTCATAGTGAAATCTTTCTCCCATAATAAATAGGCATAAAAACATGTTATTGGTATTCTTTGGATGGTGGCTATATGATGTTGCTTTGGCACCAGGTGGGCTTTAATTATTCTTGTTACATCACCTTTTCCCAGTAAGTTCTGAAAGCAATCTTGTAATTTTGTTCCGATGCGATGCCGATTATATGCACTTTGGTGGCTCATGTGTGTACCGCGTTATACTAATTGTTCTGGAACCACGATGGTGGCTGTTGGGGTTAGTGTTTGTGTTTGTTCTGAGATTTGTAGGGGCAATGCAGATTTGGTATTGTCTTGGCAAGAAACATATTGTAGTTTGAATTGTAAGGAAACAATCATCTTTGCTATAGAACATAGTTTTTAATTCAAGATTTGATATGATATTTGGTATATGAATTTGCATTTGTTTGGTTTGGCTTCCGCAATTAATTTGAAGATGGAGAATATGGATTTGTCTCTCGCTAGTGGCAACACTCATGGACTAAGTTACTAAGTTACTAAGTTAAGCTCATGGACTACGTAAAATGTCTCTGCTCTGCGTGGAGGGAACTGTCTGGTGGCTCCGGCTGTCATATTGGGGCATAATTCGTTCTAGTGAAAGAAATTCAACATTCTTAAGCCGGTTTTACAGTGATTAGTTTGGCCTATCCTTGACATGATGGATCCTCACGATTTCTTGAAGACATACGTGATACGTGGAGTCGTTTTTGTTTTCTTTTCGGCAAACTCTCGATGTTTTCCATCAAAAATTTGACGAGGGGATTTGATATATAGTTTCTTAGTTAAGGGTAGTTTTGTTGTTTACATCAATAAAGTTTTATGTTCCAGGGTTTTACGCTCTTTCGTCTGACTTTGGGATATCATGAAGGAAATTATAGATACTCTTTTCACATACTTATCCCTACTCTCTTGCACTAGGGGTATATGGCTCTAGGGACAGCTACAAAAGAAGCCGACTCCATGTCTAGTCCAGTGATGAGTTGAAACTGTTCGCTGTATGAATAGGCCCTGTTGAATTTTGGAGTACCTTGACGTGTACTGAGACGAGTTTGATACGCCATGCTTAAAAAGAAGTAAAAATTACATTTAAAGCTTTTTTTTTGTCAACCATAGTGATTTTTTAACTAGAAATTCTGTCTTAATTTACTTTCTAAAATTTTAACTTTTAAGCTTAGCAAACCATGCTAGATAAGTTGAATCTCGTTCAACAGCTCACTTGCTCCGAATAATACTATTTAGCCTCATCGGTTCTTAACACCAATCTATGTGACATGACATAAACTGACGCTAAGTAGCATTACTACGCTTCATCAGGCAACGGACAATAAATTTCACCTCCATTTTTACTGGTTCAAGCTCATTAACCAGCCATGGTCTGGTACCATTCTGAACAGTGTTAAGCCTATACAATTTTTTAAGGAATATTCAATAAAATTGGAATGATACATAGAAGATAAACATAGCCACTGCACAAGGATGACAAGCACAAATTGATAAGATACATGCTATTGGATGTTAAACATTCTTTATACAGGCCTGACTAAAAAACAAGTGAAACTTAGTCAAATAGTGATGAATTATACCATGATATACCCCCAACTTTTTCCTCACAACAGAAAAGAAAAATGGAAAAGTTATTCACTGAGGTCACCGTGGAAATTCGAGAACAAGATACATGACCCATAACCATAAATTAAATCGTAAATCGTCTTTTTTCCTCATAGCTTTCTTCAC